CCGGGCTGGCCTTCTCGTTTGTCACCGCAGCCATCACGCGCCGTTGCACCGGCTTGCGATGCTGTGCTGAGCGTTGGCCTCCCACTCGGCCGGGCTGGGGCTCTTCGTTAGCGTTTGCATCGTGCCCTGCCAAAGTTGCTGACAGCGAGACAGGGAGAGGAATTGTTATTCAAGGCTGGTCCCGCTCAACCTCGCTCCTTCCTGAGCAGCAGGGAGAAAGGAGATGGAGCTGAGTCACCCTGTGGCTTTGGGTACGAGTTAAACAACTTTACAACACCAAAACACCAAAGCCCAGCTCATCTTGTTGGTGTAAACCACTTTAAAAAGTATGGGTATTTGGGGAGAAATATCAATCTCTATTTAACAGCACTTTGGCTTATTAAAATGGAAATAGCTTTGCAAATGTAAATCTCCTTATGCTCTCTAATGCCTTTTGTTTCGGTTCTGCACTCCCTCGCAGCTGGCGGAGGGACGTGGGCTAATTGGTTGCTTTTGGATTTCTAACGGCTCCCCGGCCAGCCTGGCCTCGGCTTCTCCCGCTAATGCAGTGCCGCTGCGCCATGGTTACCCCAAAACCTCCCCCAGTGATGAAGTGCTTTGTGACACTCAATGAAAACATTTTTAGTCATTCCAGGCCAAAATACTCCCCAGCACAGCCCAGGCTGAGTCTGGTGTCTCCATCAGTCCGTTCTCTCCCGACGCTGGCTCTCGCTGTCCCCGCTGCTGGATGAAGTCCTGGGTATTTTTATTCCATTGACAGGGGAGCGGCTTTGTTTATTCAGTCGATCCATCCTCTGGCGTGTCCCTTTGCTGTAGGGTTTTGGCGGTTGTTTGGAAGACCTTCCTTTTTCCCCCTGCAGCAGGGCTGTCCTTTCCCCCAGACACCCCAAGTTTATCCCAGCCGGTTTACCCAAATTCCAGGTGTTTCTCCCCAGGGTGCAGGACTGGGGAATGCTGGGGAGCCGGGCTACGCGTGCCACAGCCAGGGGAGGCAGCTCTGGGGTTTGGGGGGACAGGGTCATGAGAGATGGTGAGTGTGGAATGGGGCTGCTGGAACCGTGCACCTTGGCCCCATCGGATCGCGGTCTGCACCCTGCAGAGCCCTCCCCGGCGGCGTGGCCGAGCAGGGGCACAGCCAGGTTTGGGGCTGCCCATCGCCCCATGGCCACAGCCAGCCTGGAGCTGAGCCTCGGCGGACCCAGTCTCAGGGAATTTGGCTTCTCTTTCTGCTTTCCTTTGCTTTTTTATCAGCGCCACATGAGCTCAGCCGGGAATAGTCTAGTTCGGTTTCAAGAGAGCTGGTCACACATCCCAGGGCTGTACAAGGGTGACTCTGGGCAGCAGGCGCTGGTGCAGGCAGGGCAGGCAGGGCAGCAGTGCTGGCCCATCTCTCGTGGCAGCGCTAGGAGCTGGCTGGATCCCCCTTTGCTGTTGCAGACAGCGGCTCCTCACCTCTGTGCTGGGGCAGGGAAGGAGCCGAGCTCGGTGGTGCCAGGCAGGGAGGTGGCGGATGCCCGGCTGGACCCGGTGCCTGGGAGCGGGTGGCTGTGCCGGGGTCCCGCGGGAGCAAGGCAGAGCAGGGAGCTGGGCTTCACCCTTCCAGAGCAAGGGCTCCCATCCCTCCCAGGGAGAGGCGATGCCCTGGTGTGCAAAGCAAGACCAAGCGTGAGAAGATGAGCGTCCAACGGCAGAAAGGCTGTCAGGGGAACCCATTTGTGGATCAGGGCGCTGAGAAGGGTCTTGTTCTCCTCCCGCTCTGCCCAGGCCTCGTGGCTTCTCGTGCCAGGCCCAAGGGCAGGAGATCTCTGTGTGGAGACACGGAGAAAAACTCAAGAAGAGTTAACCAAAGCGTGACTGCAAAGTGCTTTAGCTAAAGAGCATTAAAGCTAATTAAGCTGAATTAACTGAGGCCACTTTGTCTCTGTATGGGCTCCCAGGCCAGGGATTAGCTGCCTGAAACTAATTCCCACCTTTAGCTAATCCCACCTTCAGCTAATCCCACCTGACTTCCCGAGTGCTGTGCGGGAGCATGGGGACGACAGCAAGATGCGGCTGCCCAGGGCACAGGACCTGGTTCCTGACCCAGCTGCGGCAAGGATGCTCGTCCCTACGGCAGCTCCCCACCGGCTGCCTGCGGCACTGGGGTCCCTCCGCCATGAAATCTGGAGCCCAGGTGATGAGCTTGGCTTTGGCATGGGCTGCAGCTGGTGGCAAAACTAGAGGCTCTCGGTGCCTGGTGGCTGGCAGAGACAGCACGCACTAAGCTCTGCAGGAGGAGGAAGAGGAGGAGAGATGTCCCACGGCAGATCCCCAGCTGGCCACACAGTAAACCTGCATCTCTCTCACAGCAGCACCATATTCCAGAGAAAAAAGTGCCATTTGCCCACCCCACCCCCACTGCCCCGGCACCAGCCCCAGCTTGATTTGTTGTTTATCGGAGCCTCTCCTGCAGAAATACCCGCCAAGGAGTTGGAGAAGTCTCTGTCTTTCCCACTCGCCGATGGGCTCCTTTCGGCAGCCATGTCTATAGTCACCCCCACGCTGCCCATAGTGCAGCTGGGATTTAATGGGAGCCTTCTGATGGCTTCCCTCCGTGTACCCACTACACCAGCCGGGTCTGCGCAGCCGACGTCTCCTGCCTAGATGGGAGAGAAAACTCAGAACCGCCAGTTCACGCACAGCACGAAACCGGCATCCTCGCTGCGGTCTGGAAGCCGTGCAGAGGAGGGGGCCGTAACCCAGCAGAGCGCTTCCCAGAAAACGCTCGGAGGATTAATTCTGAGTTCGGCGAATTCAGTGATGAGTCTGAACCAAAACACCCTATCCATCTTCAGATGTTTGTCCTTCCTCCCATCCGCCGCATTCCTACAGCAGAGCCGCTGAGCCCGGCGCATCCCCACGCTCTGTGTCTGGCTTGGCTTAACCCCTTGGCTGCTGTGGCTCCTCCGCCTCCGCACGGCCAGCATTCCCGAGCGGGCTGTGCTCGGGGCTCGTCTCGGGCTCCTTACACCACAGCCCAGTGCTGGGAACCGGACCCGGCTGTGCTCATGCCCCGCAGCTGCGCAGTGCTTGGTGTGCTCTACACCCAGTTCCTCCCCAGTTTTCCAGCCCAGGAAGGTTTGGAGCCCCCCTCGAGCTCCACGGCGTTGCCAGAGTGGGCGTACCAAGGACCCAGCAGAGGCGCGGTGCAACACGGGATGGTGGGCACATGCTCCGCGGGGGGTGACAGCATCCTGTTGCGGGGTCGCTCTCCCCACCAACGATGGGGACATCTCTCATATGAGGAAAGGCTGAGGGACTTGGGTCTCTTTAGTCTAGAGAAAAGAAGATTGAGGGGGGATCTTATTAACGCTTACAAATACTTAAAGGGAGGGTGCCAGGGGGATGGGAGTAGTCTTTTTTCAGTGGTGCCCAGTGATAGCACGAGGGGTAATGGGCACAAGCTGGAACATAGGAAGTTCCATCTTAACATGAGGAGGAACTTCTTTACTTTGAGGGTAGTGGAGCACTGGAACAGGCTGCCCAGAGAGGTTGTGGAGTCTCCCACTCTGGAAACATTCAAAACATCCTATGCAACCTGTTGTAGGTGACCCTGCTTTGGTGGGGGGGTTGGACTAGATGATCTCCAGAGGTCCCTTCCAACCCTGACCATTCTGTGCTTCTGTGATGCTTTCCTCCCACAGGATGCCGGCTCACTGGATGTGGCGGTGCAGAGTGCCCTCCAGGCCCTCTATCCCCCCTTCGAAGCCACGGCCCCCACCGTCCTGGGCCAGGTGTTTCGGCTGCTGGGGACCAGCTACCGGGGGGGTGGACTCTCTGCTGCCTGCTCCAGTTCCTCATCCCAGCCAAGCGCCTCTTCGAGCACGTGCGGCAGGCAGCCTGCGTAAGCCCACACACTCCCCGCACCTCAGTGCCCTGTGCCCCATTGCAGCCATAGGGGCTTTGCCCTAACGCGTGACACCCTGCACAGCCGTGCCCTGCGCTGGGCTGCAGGCTCCTTCGCTGCACATCCCCCTCCCTGTCCCCATCCCCTCCCTACAGAGGGGACTGTAGTGTGCCCAGCTCCCCAGGATGGCTCCAGCACAGAGCCTGCCACACGCAGCCCCCGCGATAGGAACAGGAGGACTCCCAGGTCACAATGTCTCACGCTCTGTTAGCACGTGGGGAGCGCTCAACACCTTGGGAATGGCCGCGGGCTCGGGGTGGGCTTGCAGGACACTGCTGTGGCTCAGCTCAGGGACATCCCACCAGTCACGAGGTTCTTCAGTCCCCATCGTAGAAAGTGCAGAGCCAGGCAGCGAGAGCGCACGGGGCCGGCTGGGAGGGTACGGAGCTGGTGGAGGCTCTCGTTCACGCGCTGTGTTCTTCCTCCCTCCCAGGCTCCCTACTTTAACTGCATCTTTCTCCATGAAGGCTGGCCCTTGTGTCTTCACGAGAAAGTGGTTGTCCACCTCGCACCGCTCAACCCCCTCCTGCTGCGCCCTGGGGATTTCTACCTGCAAGCGGAGCCCTGCGAGGAGCACTCGGCGCGCATCACTGTCAAGCATCTCTCCCATGACCTGCGCACAGTGGAGGAGACACCAGTCCCCGAGGCTGCCTACGCGCTGCTCTTCACCAATGAGTGGCTGGAAGAGATCAACGGTGACCGGGACAGTGCCCCCCTCCACACCTGCCTGGTGGCCACCGAGAATGGCATCACCCCGCTGCCGTGGAGCAAGATTGCCACACCGGAGTTCATTGACAAGCCCAAGGCCGGAGCTGACAGTACACCCGCAGGTTCCCAGCATGATCCTGCTCCTGAAACTCCAGCCAAGCCAGCAGCACCCAGCACACCAGTGGCCCACGGGACGGCAGACATCCCGGCACCCTATGGCAACGTTGCGGGCACCATCCCGGGCTGCAAGGTCACCTCTCAGAAGTCGAGCCAGGGAAGATACCCGGGACTGATCAAGGTGGACCAGGCTGGGCTGAGGAAGAAGCCAGCCATGCTGGCCATGCCCAGCCTCTGCGAGATCATCAGCCAGAACCTGGAGGGGGAGTACGTGGACCTGCTGGAGCTCTCTCGGGAACAGCTGGACCTCCTGGCCAGGTCCTTGCCACCCACTCGCCCAGCGGGGCCGATGGGGTCCGGGCACAAGGCGATGCTCCCTGGGCGAAATGGAGGGCTGGGGGCAGACGCCTGGCCCTGCGGGGGGGCGCTGAGCTCAGAGGAGGGTCCCTGCACCCCGTGCCTGGAGAGGAAGCTGAGCCGGGAGCCAGGGCCACATGGCCCACGGTGCCGCCACCGCGACTCCTACCTGGCCGCGCTGCAGAACCCGGTGAGCTTCAGCCCTGGGCTGATGGCAGCCATCCTGGAG